AGCTGCAAAGCACAGTCTTGGACTTAGCTTATCCAGGGGGTTGAGAACGACGAATATTCCAAATCTGTCATTCTGCCGAACCTCTGCCTTTAAGGCCACTTCTCCCAGGTCTTATGTACATATATAACTGTTTTGCAATGTTTTCGTTGAGATTCACAACGTGATGTGCCAATTTACTTTATTAACCATTCAATCTTCTTCACAGTCTTTATAGTATTGAATGACACGAGCTCGCTATTAGTCCTATGTGCCTGACATGCAAGTATGCGAGCCGTGATAGGCAGTTTGCCTTGAAATGTTGACCGATAAAAATCACCACCATGTTGAAAGAGTGCTGTATCGTATACTTGCCAGGTATTTTTCGCTACTGTCCCCAGAGGAATGGTCAAGGGAAGACAAGACCAAGGAGTACGTTGCTTCTTATCGTATGGAAATGGATCGTAGTTTCACGCCAATGGCTGATGTCGCAAAAAGGGATGCCCAGTTTCGTAGTATGGAAGCCTTTCTCAAACAGTCCAAGTTCAAGAATGAGTTCAACATGGGCATGATCTTGAGCGCAGAACAATCTGGTTCATAAATGTAAAGTGTACATGTTTTTTCTAGGTTCATTATTTTTTCGTATAGCTGTTGATTTGTTCGTGATGAGAGAGTGGAATGTAATTACATTATACATAAATGAAGTTTTTCATAAGGCAGTTAGTTCATTTCATGGAATCACGCCTCCTAGCATCCTTATTGATTAGAGCACAAACTGTGGCTAATCGGTATCTTTACTGTCCGATTAACCGTCCCCAAGATGATTTGATATGCTATAAAATTTAAAGGTTGACATTTTCCTCGTAATGGTACAGCGGGAAACAATAATACTGGACAATGGTGGCTATACCATGAAAATAGGGACGAGCCGAGATCTAGAGCCAAAGTGCGTGCGTGCTTATGTGCTTGTACTATTATGAATACCTTGCTGATGTGAGATTCATTCAGGGTCATACCTAACTGCATTGCTAAGGCGAAGACAGATAGGAAACGAGAATTCGTTGCTGATGAGCAGTCGGAATGTGTTGACAAGACAGGACTGTTTTATGTAATGCCATTTGAAAGAGGTTATCTAGGTATGTTTGACATTTTTCGGGCCGCCTATTCTCTCCATTAGTATTCACTGTTGATGTTGAGCTCAGTTCGTCTTGATTCTGTATTGAAGTTCATTCCACGTCAAACAGACTAATGATCTGCATTTGAATTACTTCTCCTTTTCTCTTCTTCCTTTGCAATCTTTGTAGATACTTATGGTATGTGTTAAAGGCAGCGTCCCCTCAAACTGGTG